ACGTTACTATTAAATAAATCCTGAATTTATTTGTATTTCATTAATTTTCTCACTAATTTCCTTTTTTTATTACAGGATCTAACCTAGGATAGCACATTGCATTTTTTCATGAAGTCTCCTTAGTCTCTTCTGGTCTTTAATTATTTCTTAATCTTTTCTTATTTTTCATGTACTTGTCAGTTTGAATTGATACCGACCCCGATATCAGTTCCCCCACATTAAACCCAGCATATGTGGAGTTAAAACCAAAACACTCTTTCCCTGCTTACTCCCTGCCTTCCTGGCTCCAGAATCCACTATCCTCCATGGAGACAGACACAGCCAAGGAGAAGCACTTGGATTTACTATCTCCTCTCCATAAAGAGATACAGGCTAGTTGGAAAGCTGCTGACCAGCAAGATCATGGGCTCCCTCCTCTCTGCAAGTAGTCTCAAGGCCAAAGACAGGCTGGTGGGAAAGCTCTGACAAACAAGGCCATATGGTTCCCTTCCCCTACCTAAAACCCAAAATAAAAATCCTTCCTTTTAGCTTTTCAGGGAGTTTGGGATTTCAGCATTAGCTGCCCTCTCTCCTTGCTCAGCACTGTGGAATAATAAAATTCCTACTTTCTTCCACTACACTCAGTGTCAGAGATTGGCTTGCTGTGAAATGGGTGAGCAAACTCACCTCAGGTTTGCTATCAGGAGGAGTATTTGTCAAGCATTTTTAAAAGTGTTCTTCAGTTTGGATTTCTCTCTTTCTTTTTATTTTTAAGGAATACATTAGGGTTATGTATTTTGAGGAAGAATACAAGGATGATGAGCTTCCTTCTCATCACATCATATCAGGGAGTAAATGATATCAATATGACTTATAACTGTTAGTATTTTCCTTAGTAACTTGAGTAAAGTTTTCCATTAAAACCAATGCTATTTTTTTCCTGTCTATGATTTCTTCTTAGAAGCAAGTCACTAAGATAGCCCAGATCTATAGAGAAAAGGGATATAATTAAGCTCCACTTCCTGGAAGGATTATCTGCATATATTTTTTGGAATTCTTTCATAAGGGAGATTTCTTCTCCCACATTTATTTATATCACTATGAACTCATGTCCATAAATTTTTAATTCACCCTTGAGACTTCTCTCTAATAGTGTATTTAGAAGAGTATTTTCTAATTTACAAATGTTTGAGTAATTTTAAAACCTTTTTCTTTTATTTACCAGTGGTTTCGAACATATATTTCAAAATAATCTGGTTCTCCTTCAAAAGCAGATTATACCACTTCACATGAAGTGTAGGGAAGTCATCTCATATATTCCTAATCCACCCCTCTCACCTTTTATGCTATTTTGCCTTACATCTCACATTACTATAAACACCCAACACATTATTACCATCATTGCTTCAGTCACTTAGATTTTCAAGCAACTAAAACGAGAAAAGAGATTATATTTTTCCTTCCTTTATTCCATTTTTCAAGCTCTTCATTTTTTTGAGGAAATTCAAGCTTTTTACTTATATTATTTAGTTTTGGTCAATAGGAATTCCTTAACATGTCTTGTAGGGTAGGTTTGTTGATAGTGCATTCCCTCAGTTTTAGTTTATCTGAGAAAATTTTTATTTCTTTATCATTTTTCTACATAGAATTCTAGGTTGTCACTTGATTGTCGTTTTGCTGGTATTGCTTCCGATGAAAAATCAGGCTTAATTTTTAGTCTTGTTCTTATGTAGGTAATATATTTTTTCCCTTGAATGCCTTCAAGATTTTCTTTTTGCCTGGGTTTTCATCAGTTTTATATTGATGTGCTTAGTTTTTGGGTTTTTTCCTGCTTGTGCTCTTTGAGCTTATTCAATCTATGTTTTGGCAATTGTCAATAATTTTGGAACATTTTTAGCCATTTTACACAAACACACACTCACACATCTACACGTGATTTGGAATTAGAAATGAACCATCATTAGGGAAAGTGAGTGGAGAGCAAGGACAATAAAGAGAAGTCTCTCAAATGGATCCTTAGAGCATTGGGGATTCTCATATTTAGGAATCAATCACAGAAGAAACCAGCAAAAGAAATGAGAAAGAAATGCCAATACAGTCAGAGAAAACAACATTATAGTTTCTTATTTGACCCAAGCAAACAAATTATATTAAATGAAAAGCAGTGATCAATTGTGCTGAATATTACTGAGATTCAGTATAATAACAGTAAAAAAGATGACTCCTTAATTTGAAAATGTGGAATTTGAAAGACAATGGTTACTGAATTGAATTTGAGATATTCAGAAATAAAAAACAGATTTTTTCCTAGAACTTATTTTTATGGGAGAATTATCTGTATCTTATAGGGACTCTAACCATAGGTTAACACCAAGATGCATTAACCTTAAATTATTTTTCAGTTTAATAAAAATATTGATGCTGTATTTGTATTAAAAAAATTTAGAAATGAAAATTTAATTTGGAGGAGAAAGGATTTTTTATCATAGTTTAATTGACCGAAAGTTGAGATGTGTTCTTGAGATAAAGCATTGGAATTTCCATAGACTTCTTTTAAATAACAAATAAAGGTCTTTCAGTCATAGGCATTTTATTTAAATTCAGAAGATTAATTTGATGAATGAACAAAAAGAAGATTGTGACCATAATCACATGGAGAAGTATAAATCTATCAGAATTTGTTTGATTTTCAAACAAATTTACAAAATTTACAAATTTACAAAAAACTAAGAGTTTTTTGTATATATGAGGTAACATTTATCACATATATTTTTGCAAATATTTTCTCCCAGTCTGTGTCTTGTCTTTTCATTTTCTTCACATTGTCTTTTGCAGAGCAGAAGGTTTTTAATTTTAATGAAGTATTAAATTTGGGATGCACCAAGTTACCTAGTCTCATAATACTTCAGTATCTTTATTTGAAAATGGAGATAAAATGATAAGGTCATATTGTACCCATTCTTTATGTATCGGCTTTTATTATTACAAAATACATTGTTTTATATTAAGAAGAAACTGGGAAAATAAAAATTGGTAAAATGTTATTGACACACATTTTCTGTGTGAAGTACTGCTTCTCAACAATATATTCTGGGCCCTCTTTTCATAGGAGTAGTAACTATAAAGATGATACTCCTTGGAATATAAACCTGGATCTTTGGGAAAATATGGGACCTTCACTCAAAAGTGTTGTATGTAACCATTACCATTGTGTTTTGCCACCTTCACAACAGGGTTGTTATCTTTTCCAAACGAATATCAGTTTACTGGCTTTGTAGAAGAACAAGTTAACGAATATTTCACACAGATGTGATATTATTCAATTATTATATTATGTTATATATTATTGTTAATATAATAAAGTTTGACTTTTGCTACTATGACTATAAACTGTCCTTAAATAAAATGCAGTGCAGACATAGAGAAATGAAGCGATTGTTATTCTAATTTTACGAGTGGTGAAATTGAGACAAAAATAGATATAAGAGACTTATTTAGAGTCATGAGCTTGAGGAGCAAGGTGGTTTACCATTCAACAATCTACAACAAAATGAAAAGAAAATTGGCGAATGAGAAATTCCAAACTTCACATAATATGAAATGCCTTTTATAAGAATATAACTATAAAAATTTATGATTCTGTATTTGTAAATTTATATATAAATTGTATACTTATAATAAAATTATGTGATATAAATTATTAAATGTCCCATAATATATCTTTAATTCTCGTTATTGTCATTTCTATTGTTTCGGTAATTTTGACATTATTTTAACATAGATTGGGGCTATCGGAGTACATTAGAATTAGTTTGGTCCAGTTACAATATCTACTTTCTTGAAAAAACTAAAAGTTAACAAATTTTGACTGGTTGATTTTAGAATGTATAGGAATAATCAAAATAATCACTGGTAGGGCCTCTTAACTACAAAACTGCTAGTTTCCTTAAATTTATATTTTATATAAACAGGTTTCTGGTCTCAACAGAAACATTTAAAAAAAGGGAAAGATGTAATTAAAGCTATCTAAAGGAAGAGCGTTGAGAACAAAATAAATATGAATCTCAAGAATGAATACTAATTCTTAGTAATCCTTCACTATATTTTAAACTGAATACGTTCATGGAGAAATAAAAGTATGAAAAGGAGCAAATCTTTGTTTTATGGGAAGTTTTTCTGAAACACGGATTGCATTTCCTCACTGTTCACATCATGACTCAAATTGCTAAGAAGAAGTACTAAGAAACATTGCAGCTTATGTCTCTCTTTTTCATTTTTTTATTTTCTTTGTTTTTTCATTGATCAAACCAACAAATAGCCCTGTAATAAATGCTAAGAGAAATTCTCTCATGGAGAGGGAAACCAGAGTAGCTGGCATTTCCTCTGCAAGATATTAACCAGGGATCAAGGTCTCCCTCACCAGTAATGCGTTTTGTGTCATAATGCAAAAAGAAAAGTGAGAGAAGAAATTATTAATTAGTAAACTCACCAGACCTTTAGAAAGTTAGAAGGGGGGGCCGGCCCCGTGGCCAAGTGATTAAGTTCGCATGCTCTGCTTTGGCGGCCCAGGGTTTCACCAATTCGGATCCCGAGTGAGGACATGGCACCACTCATCAAGCCATGCTGAGGCAGCATCCCACATAGCACAACCATAAGGACCTACAACTAGAATTTACAAGTACGTACTGAGGGGCTTTTGGGAAAAGAAGGATAGAAAAAAAAAAAGATTGGCAACAGGTGTTAGCTCAGGTACCAATCTTTAAAAGAGAAAAGAAAGTTAGAAGAGTCGTCTGGAGGACATGAGAACTAACCTGCTACTTCAAAACAAAATAATAGTAAAACAAATTGGGATGAGAACTATGTGGTCTTTTATTTTTGTGATTTACACAGAGGGACATTCACGATATTTCCTTTGAGTAGATTACAACTTTTACTTTTAGAAATTCACATTTTATCTCTACTGTAAATACACCATGCTTGTATAAGAAGAAAATTAATATAGAGAATAGTCTAAGTAGTTAATGGAAGAGTTCAATAAAAGGGGGGGTTTTGAAGTAACACAAAGATTAGCAAGAGCAGGCAGTCATACTTCCATCTATGATTTCAAGGCACAAGAAGAGGTGGTGTTACAAGATCCCAGAAGTCTGGTGAGTCAGTGAGAACCATGGTTTCCACAAGGTGCTAGAACCAAAAAGAGAAACATGCCATGAAGTATAGTAAAAAAGAAGGAAATTCTCTCTCTTCATACATCCTCAGTGCTGCCATTGGCCTGTGAAAGAAGCATCGACAATAGGTCACTGAGGGAGGGTAAGTGGATTTGGCCCACAGGCTGTATTTGAATGACCACTACCTTAGAATGCACAAAGATTCCTCAACTAACATTTTGGGAAAGAAAGAATCTTACATAAAATTTTTCAAGACTTTCCACAATCCTGTTCTATGCATTCCATAATGTTCCTAGAGATCCTAATTTATTCTGATAATATTTCCCTTTAGCTAGAAAAACTGTCTATGGCATTTCTTAGAGTGCAAGTTTGGCATGATGCATTCTCTTAACTTTCCTTTATCAGAAATGTTCCTCAATTTGCCTTCAATTCTAAAGTATATTTTCCTGGATTTAGCATTTTGGTTTGGTCTCCCCTCCTATCTATAAGCACATTAAAGATGTTGTTACAGTGTCTTCTGGTTTGAATTTTTTCTGACAAAAAGTCTATGGTCTAACTTGTGTTTGCTTGTATGTAATGTCTCTTTTTCCCTCTTGCTATGTGACCAATATTCTCTTTTTGACTCATTTTCAGAAATTTTGTTTTGAGGTGCCTTCATTTGGTCTTCTTTCTGTTTCTCCTGATTGGGATTATGTGAATTTTCTTGCGTCAGTGTGTTTACAGCTGTCATCAACTTAGAAAAACTTTTTGCTCATTATAGTTTCTAATAGTTTTCTGGCCTCTCATTTTCCGGTTACATTTGTAATATTTTCTCAGCTCTCACTGAATGTTCCTTTTGTTTTTCCTTTTTAACTCTATGCTTATGTTTTTTTCATGTTGCTATGTATTCAAGTTTAAAATCTTTCCTACTCGGTGTCTTTACTTTTGGTCAGGAATTACAGTCATTGCTTATTGTACAATGTCTGAAAATGGTTCACATATTTATCCATAGTTTAGTTTTTTGTTATGGAAAGAAAATCTTGTAGTAGTTATTCTTTCATTAAAAAATGTAGAAACATCTTAAATTCTTTATTTTTTAAATGTTAACTGGTCTTTACATTTGGAGTATAGACACACACTTCAGTGAGACTCTATTATTCTTTATATATTGAAGTATTTTATTTGTTAATATTCGGTTGGAGAATTTTTGAAGTTACGTTTATGAGAGAAATTTATCTATAATTTTTATTTTAATAGTTATTTGAGACTTATGGCAGACTCGTAAATATAGTTGGGAACTATTTCCTTTCCCATTATTTCTGAAAGAATTTATGTAAGAGTGGTCTTATTCCTTTATTAAACGTTGGGAAGTAAACACTGGTGAAGTCACATAGGCAAGGACACTTCTTCATGGAATGATCATTAATAAAATTTAATTACTCTAACAGATAATTTAAAATTCACGTTTCTTTTTGATACATCATTTTGTTCTATTTTAATATGTTTGTTTAAAAAATCATTGGGGCCAGCTCCGTGGCCGAGTGGTTAAGTCCGCGCGCTCCGCTGCGGCGGCCCAGGGTTCGGATCCTGGGCGCGGACATGGCACCGCTCGTCAGGCCACGTTGAGGCGACGTCCCACATCCCACAACTAGAAGGACCTGCAACTAAGATATACAACTATGTACCAGGAGGGTTTGGGAAATAAAGCAGAAAAAAAAAAAAAAAGATTGGCAACAGTTGTTAGCCCAGGTGCCAATCCTTAAAAAAAAAAAAAAGGAAGATTGGTAGCAGTTGTTAGCCCAAGTGCCAATCTTTAAAGAAAAAAAAATCATCAATATTTGCTAAAAACATTGTTTACTTCATTCTTTTTTTTTAATGTAAGGAGAATCTGTGGTGATATCCCATTTTTAGTCCTGATATTCGTGATATAAGGTCGCTGGTTTACCATTGTTAACTTGGCTAGGATTTTATACAATTTACTAATGAAGAATGAAAGAATGGAAGTGAGTATTCTATATTATCCATATTTTTTCTATTTAACTAATTGTTACCTATCTTATTTACTTTATTCGTTTTTTTGTTTTGATTTGCTGTTTTCTATTTCACATTACTGAGAGATGAATCTTAATGTTCCTGCCTTCTCCTTTATATTTACCTATATGTCTTTGTATATCCCTTTTCTGCATCCCAGAAGTTTAGGTATATCATAATTTATTATAATTTAATTTGATTTCTTTTTTATCCATGGACTTTTATGAAGTGTTAATTTTTAGTGTCCATACCCATAGAGTTTTCTAGTTATCTAATTGTTATTATTTCCTTATCAAGTTGACATGATCAGAACAGACACGGAACAACTTCAATCTTTGAATTTGTTGAGGGTTTCTTTATGTCCCATCTATTGTGAATGTCAGTAAGTGTTTCATATGTACGTATATGCAGTAGCATGTTGTTATTTCTAATGCTATTGTGGGAAGTTTTATGATGGGAAAAATTATATTGGAATCTGGTACATTTTATAGCTTAGATATCTAAGCTTTACCCCATGTGCTTTCTAGTTGGAGACGTTGGAAAGTTAAAATGTCTCTTGCTTCCAGGATTCTTGACACAGATTTTGTTCTACCAATTAGATTCATACAAGCTCAGAATTCAGTAGGGCGTTATCTTTCTGTTCCTTTTCTACCAGTTAGAAAAATTGTAGGAAAAAGTGGGCTTTCTCTGCAGCATTGTTGAGTTCCCAATTTCCTGGAGAAGCTATTTTGATGGATGAGGAAGTAGTGACATCTCTTTAGTCTGTGTATTTGATCCCTGGATCAGAGTTACGGTGCTGTGTTTTTAAATCATACCTCCAATGGTAGCCCCCTTTGTGAATTAATCCTATGTTGCTATAAGGGTCATTAGAAGTGTCATCCAGAATTTCCTTGAGCCTTTTTAAATTTGATAGGCCTCAACTCACTTTAATTAATATTTTCCTGTTTAAAATATTTAAATTGCTTTCTCTACCAACACTGACCAAACTTTTACTAGTACTGTATTATAAAAAGGAGAAGCTCTTGTCCCACATCATTCTGCTATCTACACACCCAAAAAAACTTCCAGAAAAATTCTAGAAATAATTTTTCACTAAAAGAGAGATTTTCTAAAAATAGAATCACAATTAACTGATGGAAATATTTTAGAAAAATGACATCCCTATAATATTAGACTCATTAAATAGAATATTATGTCTCTGGTTTAAATGTAGTCTTTTTGTCACCTAGAAGTTTTTAAGGAATTTTTTTAAATATTGGTCCTGATCTCTTTTAAATATTTTTACTAAAGATTTAAAAAATGATTTTATTGAATGCTATCATTTCTTCCATTATATTTTCTGACTGTTTAGTATTTAAATATAGGAAAGCATAAAATTAGCAAAGTATTATCTGACTTTGAGTTTGTGATTTAGAAGACATTTGTCATATCATGAAATATGTGTGCTTCAGGATATACAGGTAAACCATAATTTGCAATACATTTTAGTCCTTTTTAAATCATAGCAAATATAATTTACTACATAATTTTAAATATTCATTTATCTAAGCTTTTCTCATAGTGTACAAACTTTTCAATCTATTTCTCTGTGCCTATCAATATGTCTGCTGTGATAATTACCACAAAGTTTTTCTTTGTTGGTAAAAAAAAAAAAAAAAAGTCACAACTGGAGAAGAAACAGTTCCTTGTATTTGCACTATTATTAGAGTATTTGTAACAGAGGTTCCCACAGTCCTCATGGACAATGGCCCTGGAGACTGCACTTATGTCTCCATAATTGACTTTATGATTACTCCCGTCCCAGTGGAATCCATCACAGGAGGTGAGCAAAACGTCATTGCCGAAATATCCTGAAAAAAGATTTCCCAGGAGTAAAAATTACTAAGGCCATCACAAACAACCACTGTTGATACTGTAGCAAACGATCATGGGCTCTGGATGACACGGGTTGCTATGCTCCTTAAATATCCATGGTTATCCCAGTATCCTTATTTTGAGACATATAAAGTATATGAGAATTCAGGAAAGCAGTTTTCCTTTGCATATATCCCTTGTCCTGACTGACCTGAGTGAGGTCCCTTGAATTGATACAGCTTTCATAGAAAGTCATTCACTGCAGCATAAGGACTGGAATGTTCACCAGCTTCTCTCTCTGCTTCCAAAAAAGGGCTAAATGATTATGGCATTTTTAAATTAAAGAACTACTAATGGAAATGAAATATTTGTAACGAGGCAATAAAAATACATTTATTTGTAGGAATGTTCTTGATCTAAGTAAATGAGTGTATGTTTGAAAATAGCTTTAGAGAATTTTATTTTATCTAGGCTTAGTCCCTTTTTTTTCTTTTGGGGAGGAAGATTGGCCATGAGTCAAGATCTGTTGCCAATCATCCTCTTTTTGCTCGAGGAAGATTGTCACTGAGCTAAAATCTGTACCTGGAAGAGCCGTGTGTAGGTCCTTGCCTGTGGTCCGAAACCACAAACCCTGGGCTGCCAAAGTGGAGCATGCAAACTTAACCTCTATGTCACCAAGCTGGCCTCTTAGTGATTTTCCGATGTTATTAATTTTAACATACCAATAATTTACTTATTTTTATTCTATTTTCAAATATTGCTATAGTAAAAATGGAAACTAAATAGATTATGGCAAATCTTGGTAAAAACATTTTTAAATATACTTATCATGGGATTCAAACAGTGACTTGAGTATCATAATGGCTATAAATACAATCATAGTGATTGGATGTAACACTTCTATTTGGGGTTATATGCAATACTACTCCTGTTTTTAGATAAAGATAATTATTTGTCAATAAATATACTGAAAACAGAAATTCAGAACATGAGTAAAATTAGACAATAAAATATGCTGCATTCCTGCAGAACTCCCTGCAAAAATATGACTTAGAGACAATAAGCAGATAACCCCACTGCTGAATAGAATAGCAGTCCAAGCATCCCAGTGTCATCTAACCCAAATTCTCGATTCTTCATGACATTAAAATTGTTTTATATGCAGTATATAATTAAGCTGTAAACAATTTATTTCTACACTTGACTATTTCTGTCACTGGAATCAAAGCCAAGATTTCATTTATTTGCCTTGTGCCTTTTAGTGGGTTTCTGCCATGGGTGACAGGGAACAAGCAATGACTCAGAAGTGACTAACTTTATTCTTGTAGGTTTCAGGGTCCGCCCAGAGCTCCACATCCTCCTCTTCTTGGTATTTCTGCTCGTCTATGCCATGGGCCTTCTAGGGAATGTTGGGATGATGGCCATTATAAAGACTGATTCCTGGCTGAACACACCAATGTATTTCTTCCTAGGCAACCTCTCCTTCATTGATCTCTTCTACTCATCTGTTATTGCACCCAAGGCTATGATCAACTTCTGGTCTGAGAGCAAGTCCATCTCCTTTGCAGGCTGTGTGACCCAGCTCTTCCTCTTTGCTCTCTTCATTGTAACTGAGGGATTTCTCCTGGCAGCCATGGCTTATGACCGCTTCATTGCCATCTGCAACCCACTCCTCTACTCTGTCCAGATGTCAACACGTCTCTGCTCTCAGTTGGTGGCTGGTTCCTATTTTACTGACTGTATCAGCTCCATTATTCATACCAACAAGACATTTACTTTATTCTTCCATGCTTTTTGGGCCATGGACCACTTTTACTGTAATGACCATCCACTTCAGAGAGTTTCTTGTTCTGATCTCTACATTCATAAGATGGTTTCTTTTTTCTTATGCAGCATTATTGTTTTGCCTACCATAATTGTCATTATTGTGTCCTATATGTATATTGTGTCCACAGTTCTAAAAACTTGCTCCACTGAGGGAAGTAAGAAAGCCTTCTCCACTTGCAGCTCTCACGTAGGAGTTGTGAGTGTGCTGTGTGGTGCTGTCTTTTTTATGTATCTCGCTCCTGACAGATTTTATGAGCTGAATAAAGTGTCCTCCTTATGTTACACGTTAGTTACTCCCATGTTGAATCTTTTGATTTACTCTCTGAGAACCAAAGATGTCAAAGAAGCTCTGAGAAACATACTGGAGAAAAAAATTATTTAATTCTATTTTAGCAGTGATATAACAGAAAGATCTGGATATTAGGACAATTGGGAAAGCGTTAACTCAAAGAATGCACCATTGATCTTAGAAATATTTAATCTTAGTGAGTTTATGTATTTGAATTCCTTGGACTTGCAGCTAAGAATACATTTGGATTATATTGTGCCTGTCTGTCGATTTTGGAGTGGAATGACTTTCTTCGAGCCTCATCTTTATTTTTGGTAAAGATAACGATTGCCATGTCATTTGTTTTTAGGGAAACTATGTGCCAAGTTTCCTGCTGGCTCTCTGAGGGTGTTCTTTGGGATGCATTGTTGATCTTGAGTCAGTAATATGTATTACATTGATATGTACGTAATTGGTAGAGAGAACAAAATCTGATCTAATAAGCAGACAGAACAAAATAACAGATTTACTGAAGAAACCTTTGTGAGTGCTCAGTGAGAGAATTGGATTCTCTGCAGCGCACAGAGTCCTAAGGATGACATGTCCAGAGGCTGAATGAGTAACCCATTTATTTCATGGTTTCTCACTTAAATAAGTCATTCTCGAAAATTCTTCCTTTTCACAAGAAAACTGTAATGAAAATAAACCAAAAGTAAAACTAATTCATTTTTTGTTGTATATGACTTTGTGAGAATTAATTCATCACAGTTATATTTATTGAATTTTGATGTACTCTTTTCCCTATGGAAATCCCTAGGACTAAATAATTTTTATAATTAAGCTCACAATCTAATGAGGGGAAAATAGCTGAACAGAGAACTAAACTGCCACGTGGTAAACCTAGTCAAAAGACATACAATTATGTGTTAGGCATTGAGGTGTTTTTTGATATAATCATAACTAGGTGTATAGAAACTGACAAGTTCTACATTTTCAATCGTCTTTCTCCTTCATAGTTTCCTGGGGTACTCTTTCGGGATCTCTGCTACTTAGATTTTCCATCATTAGACGGATGAATAAAGAATTCAAGAGTGCAAATTTGGCACTAATTAACTATATGCTTTAATAGAAGCTTGTTAATGTCTTTAGGACTCAGTTTTCTTCATCTGTATCTTGAAGGGATTGGAGAGGAAATATCTATAGCCTCTTTAAACTTTGAAGTTAAGTATGCTAGAAATCTGTTCCATTCATTTTGAAAAATTAATATGGACAAGAAATGTTTAGAAAATGTCAGCTTTTACTTGTGGTGGAGGGCCTGCTTAAGGACATCAAATTATGAACACAAAGTTTAGTATGAAGTTTAGAAAGAATATAATTTAAGGCTACAATATTATTAACACCATGATAATGTTAACATGGTTTTACTTCATATTCTTGTAAATGAGAACCAGAACAATCATTAGGCACAACACTAAATTATGTGAAATGTATTATAAGGACATATTTCTAATTAGCTTAAATTTGAATCATCCCTTTACCTCTTTCATAGATTCATTCATGAAGCATTTTCCCACCAATAATAGAACAAACACATATTGATTTTCTCTTCTTAAGAACTTTCTTACCTCAAACACTGAGTATGCCCAGGTTCTTATTAAGTGATCATTGTGGAAAGACAAAGTTTAAATATGGATATTATAATTTGAAAATAACTGACTTTGCATCAACTCACTAATATACTGCTTAACCTATTATTAACTAGCTAAAGTAAATTTCTTCAGGATATCTATTGAATTATACAGTTACAAGTATAGAGATTGGAGACCGTATGGCAATGGATAAGAAAATTTCAATTGTAAAAAACAATTAGAATTCATATTTCCAATTCTGACTTTCCCTCAAACCTTTTCTTTAAAAGTAAGATATAAATGAAGAAAAATATTATGAAACTGTTAGAAGACACACATACATACACACACACACTAGCCTCTAAATTTTTACAAACAAAAAAGTGGTGATAAAATCAGCTTACTTAAATAAATAGTTTTACCGTCACCATGTTCAAATAGGAATATTAACGATGTAATAAAGAAAATATTTTTTAATACAATAACGTACATCTACAGACTTCCAAACATTTATTATTTATTGTAATAATTAATCTCAGATAGTTTCACTTTTTTGAAAAAAATCATTATCTTCCTGACCATATCTTTGAAGGCTATTTTCACTTGCTTGTTCCTTAGGGTGTAGATGAAAGGGTTCAACAGAGGGGCAACTGAAGTGTTTAAAACAGCCACTTCCTTATTAAAAGTCGCTGCATCCTTAACAGAGGGATTTATATACATAAAGATACAGCTTCCGTAAGAAAGTGAGACCACGATCATGTGAGAGAAACATGTAGAAAATGCTTTTTTTCTTTGTTGAACAGAGGGGATTCTCAGAATTGTCCTGATAATGTATACGTAGGAAAGGATCACGAGCACCAACGTGAAGATGAGGGTAGCTGCAGCAGCGGCAAACTCAATCACTTCTATGAAATGTGTGTCTGAACAAGCTAAGTGCAGTAAGATAATGTAGTCACAGCAATAATGGTTGATGATGTTGGATGCGCAGAAAGGCAGCTGCAGAGTCATTGTATGCGGCACAATGACAACTAAAAAACCGGAAAACCAGGAACACAGGACAAGTTGAATGCAGAGTTTCTTGCTCATTATAGTTGTGTAATGTAGGGGTTTGCAAATGGCAACATAGCGATCATAGGACATGGCTGCTAAAAGGTAAAATTCGGTTGCTCCCAGAAGGATGGCAAAAAAATACTGAGTGAAACAACCAGCAAAGGAAATAGTCTTGTCTCCAGTCCCTATGTTGACCAGCATTTTGGGAACAAAGACAGAGGTAAAAGATATTTCCAGAATGGAAAAATTCCGGAGGAAGAAATACATAGGAGTCTGGAGGCGATAATCCATCAGGGTCAGAATGATGATGGTCAAGTTCCCCATGACACTTAAGATGTAAGTTAGCAGCAGAAACAGGAAAAGCACAGCTTGAAGCTCGGCGTCATTTGTCAAACCAAGAAGGATGAACTCTTTCACTGAGGTTTGGTTTCCCATTTTTAACTTCAGGCTAATTACGGTAGAAAATAGTAATAATGATAAATGTTGAAATAAAACAAAAGGCTCCAGATTTTTATTGAAACATAAAATCAAGGTCAAAAACAATTAAAAGTAAAATTCAAAACTCTGAATCTTCCTCTACCCTTTATTTTTAAAATGACACATATTTTAATGAAAAATTAACGCATGTTCTTAATTCATTTCAGAAATAACAAAGGTCCTGCTCCTTAGGGACATTTTCAGTCACTTCTTCTAAATAGTATCAATATTTATTTTTCAAAACTTGTTTATATTTTTGTTCTTATTCTTTTCATCCTGATTTTCCTCTCTTTGTTATTGTATGCTGTCACAAGTGCATAGATAAATCTCAAGCAAATTTAGACAGTAGGTTTTATTTGAGTTTTTTTAAATTAGCCTTTTAACTCTCAGTTTATCAGTCAACAAAGTGAATATAATGTAAGGTATGAACTACAGGAACAACACTGAGCTTGCTTGTTTTCTTCTCACTGTTTTGCATTTTTTGTTTATTTCAACTTTCTCATTTTAAAGAATAATTCTGTGCACCTAGTGAAGCTCAAAGCCTGGATAGATTTTTCTCTTAATTCTTAATAAAGTGTTTGGAATACATATTGCTTACAGTTCTTTGTTCATGTGAAAGGTTCAAAAAATGCCATCATCATTTAATATAAATATATAGATTAGTCCTTGGTAAAATAGTAAATCAAGATAATCTCACTGATTGTGCTTTCTTGCTGCACGCAGAATCTGACTATCAGCACAATACGGTTTGTCAAAAAGTCCATTAAAGCTCAGTTTTCCATACAATTTTATCTAACAATCCCAGTCAACGATAATTGTTTCTCCTCTTCTTTACAAAAATTTACCATAACACTGAGTCATAAAGCAAAGTTTTTTTCTAGTTATATCAAGCATGTACACTCTGACCACAGGAATAGACTCCTATTCCTTTATATTTTTTTATACAGAGACCAGAAAATTGTACAGATTTCGTACAAATTTTAATGTAAAATATATTTTTGACATCTTTAGACTCATAGCCCTATTTTATTGAATGCTACAGAATTTTTATGCAAATAGAAGCTCCAATTAAGTTTATGCATATAGATCTTCAGAATTTTCTTTTAATATTTTCCATAATCAGACATGAAGAAATATTTTTAAGTGAATGTATTTTCCTAAGCAAAAAATCATAAAATTCTTTTATTTTCAGCAATTGTTTCACTATATACATTGGTGTATTTTCAAATTATAATACATATTAACTTAGCAATAGTCACACATGTTATATCCTTATCAATGTAAAAATTCCAGAAATGTTTAATACAGGAAAAAGGGACTTTTACCAAGTTTAGAAGACTTACTGTTGAGGCTGGCCCTATGGCGCAGCAGTTAAGAGCACCCGTTCTGCTTCGGTGGCCTGGGTTCACCAGTTTGGATCCTGGGTGCAGACATGGCACTGCTTGGCAAGCCATGCTATTTTAGGCATCCCACATATAAAGTAGAGGAAGATGGGCACGGATGTTAGCTCAGGCCCACTCTTCCTCAGCAAAAAAGAGGAGGATTGGCAGCAGATGTTAGCTCAGTGCTAATCTTCCTCAAAAAAATTTTAAAAAAAGACACTAGTAAAACGATATCTGGAAAATTTCAGAGTTACTAATATTATAACTTCAGCCAATTTGCATTCTTGTAGAAAATTGTATGTTTAAAGGTTACAATATGCTGTTCAGCTATGTTGTGTTATTATATTAAAAATTCTATGTTAATTAATAGCTGCATTAATGTACCAATAATGTAAATTTGTGTCAATTGAAATTTTGGCTATCTATGTCTGAATGTTATTTTGACTACTTTGTAATAAGTACAGATAAACAAGTATGAGAATTCAGATAATTTGATGATATCAATGTAATCTTCTATTTTGAGACCCTTAATATTAATTAACTTAAAATTCCAACTTAGAAAGTAATTAATCAAGGA